GGATAAAGAAGGCCAAAAGTCTGGAAGATAATCACATTTAATACTAAAGGACTGATTTATATAGAAGTTGATACTACCCATGCTTTGAGAACTGAGCAGCTTCTGTGTCAGTGGTATCAAAGTGTTGTCCGAGTATATTTGGAGTCTGGTTTGCCTTCAAAATCACAAGGTAAATTTTTAGGCACTTTATTTCCTTTATGTAAAATGAATGTCAAGATCATTCTTGTCAAATCTGTTTTTAGTACAAAACCCACAATAGAACACATCTGGTAAAGGAAGAGGGTGCATATATATGAAGAGCTGAAACAATATGGGAATCCTTGCCAGCTAATGGAAGTGTGTATTTTAAGTGGAATAGCATTCCCAGAACAAGTTGGATCCCTGTGGAAAAAGGCCTTTAGAGATGAGAAGGCAGCTAGGTAAAATAACACTTGAATTGTACTTCCCATGAAATTTTTATGTGATATGTCTGTCTTAAACCTGTTAAAGATAATGGCATATATTGGTGTGGTTGGGGGCCACAGCATAGCCTCCTGCTGCCCCTTTCCCATAGACGGGGGAAATTTTTCCTTGGATGCTAAAGTAAGAATGAGTAGAGGAAGAAAAGAGGTAGAAGAACAGGCTTGTAACTTGTAGAGCGATGAGTTACATGCCAGAAGAAATCAGTGAGAGTCTTCCAAGTTTGTTGACCCCATTTCTGAAGAATGGGAAGGTCCTTGAATGTGTACAGAGGAGGGGGAAAAACTGGTGAAAGGGCTAAAAGGAACCTTCTAAGCTAAAAGGAACCTTCTAAGCGCTTTGGACTTGTTTAGTTTGGAGAAAAAGAGGTGAAGTGTGGCCTCATTGCTCTCTCTGGCTTCATGAGGAGGAGAGGTGCTGAGATCATCTCCTTGTTAACTGGTGATAGGACACGTGGAAGTGGTTCAAGGCTGTGTCAGGAGGTTTAAACCTGGGCATGGTTTTACCAAGAGGGTGGTCAAGCACTGGCACAGGTTTCCTGGGGAGTGTTCAATACCCCAAGCCCGTGAGTGGTTCCATTTGGACAATGTCCTTAACAACAGGAGGCCTGAGCTGGTCAGGTAGTTGGACTGGATGATCATTGTAGGTCCCTTCCAACTGAAATAGTCTACCCTGTTCCAGGTCTTGTTTGATCCTGGCTCAAACATCTTCAGTGGCAAACCAGGGAGATGCTAGGAGATAGTTGCCATGCATGGAATATAGCTTGGCATTTCAAAGATTCCCTCCATCCTGCTCTGTCCTGGATTTTGAAACGAGGTTCGTGAATCTCAGGATGTTTTAGTCTGTAGCCAGACTTCTTGCTTTTTTAAAGCTTACAGTGAATTGTCCACGTCAAAAATAAAGTTTAAAATTGGAAATGTTTAGGCTAAAAAAGGGAAGGGTACAATATATAATGTAAATATCTGCTTTTCAATATCCTCCTTCAAATGCTATTCCCAGCTCTCTAGTTTGTACTTAGTTTTATGGGTTTCCCTCCTTTTTCTGTCATCTTCTGTTACAGAGAATAACTTGTCCATATTTCCTACATAGCATTTTATGTCCAAAGCTTTAGGTGTCCACCTTCTTTCACTGGAATGAAATACCTGTGCCAGAGAACTGAAATAACTTGGTAGATGCTTTTAGGATCAATGTCAATAAGCTTTCATATTGCCAATAAACAATAAACATCTGTTGTGACTTCACATGCAGGAGCATCACCAGATATCTCAACAGATTGACATTGTCACGATATTTGCCTTTGTTGGGATGGTGATTTTACTACAGGTTTCCAAATGTTAATCAACCAAATATAAGTGTATAGAAAAAGGAAATGATAGGCCAAAAATAATAGCTTCTGTGAATGTCAAAGGTAGCCTGTGAATTCCAGTGTTTGCATTCCATGGGATTCTTCCTATGTATTAGGAAACAGCATAATTAAAGATTAAAATAATCCTAGTGCTTAACTATGTGTTATTTTTTTAAAAAAGGAAAAAGGGAAGGGATAAAAAGAAAACCTGAACAAGCAGTTATAATCTCTTACTTATGACTCCCTATGGAGATCTTTAAATGAGATTATGTATTTAGAGTGCATCCTCATCTGGTGGGAGCATCATTCTCTAAATAACAAAAAAAGCCAAATTATATTACAGCCCAAAACTAAATAGCCAGGTAACTAGAGGTTAGAGGGTCGATTCTTACTATACAATATTAACAATTTAAAAATAGCTAATCCTCTAAAATCATAGCTTGCAAGGTAAAAGGAGTTAGGTAAGGAGTAGTCACGAGTAAGAAGATTTAATCAACATTGCATTGCAGTTCAAGCTGCCCTATTTACTAACCCTTGTTGGTTTCTTTTAAGACTTGGCAATTTTCAGCAGAAAGGTCTTTGTGTAAGTGGAATATTTCAAATTATGTAGGAAATTAAAACTATCATAGTGATCTACTTTGCTTGTGATATGGAAGCTGGGGTGATTGTTTGCAGAAGTATTACTGAGCTAAAAAGGTGCTTCTTGATGCTGGTCTTGCTGCTTGTCCGTGTTTGCGTGGGAATGTGAAGGAGACTGAGCACAGCACTGAGAGCACGAGCTTGTGCAGGACAATAAAAACATCCAAGTCACAAATGCTTAAAGAAGAGGAGAGAAATGTCAACAAGGAGTTTACACTCCCTCACTTCTGGTATTTTCCTGAAGGTAAAAGATACTTCTTTACTAGATAGAGTCAAGATTATGATACGAGATGTTGTAATCACAGTTTTACCATTGGATGATCCTTCCGCTACCTTCATGGAATGCTGGGTGGTCGTGCAGCACATATGATGATGCTTGTGAGAGAGAGGAATTGTTCTACAAACTCATCTGCAGTCTTCCTGTTGGACAAAAAATTTAGAGTTTTGTCTTTATAAAGCAAATTCATGGGAGTATTCTGAAAGATTCAACTCTGTCATTTAGTTCAGTTTCTGATATATTTTTTTAGTATTGTGCAAAACATTTGTTCCAAATGAAATTTTTCATGTTTTTTCCCCTCAGATGAATTTTACACTAGTATTTTTGTCACTGCAGATTCTTCATTGGTCAGTATGAATATTTAGGCCTTTATTTTATAATAAAGGAAAAAAAACCAAACAGTAAGGAAGCAACAAAATGACCTGATACTTTATTGTGCCCTCACAGTAAGCTTTGTCTTCTTTCCAAAGCCTGTAGAAGCTGTGTCATAAAAATTCTGTCATTCTGAGAGTGCACAGGTACAAAAAGTTATATGGGGAAAAAGGGCAACAGGAGCGTGAAAAGCTTTTCTTCTGAATTTGGAGATGTGTAAAGCAGAAAATCCACTCTTGTAAGTGGATCTTGACTGAATGTGGTATCTGAGGTGATGTGCCACGTTTCCTCTCCTTAAAGACTCCCAGGTATGAGCTAGCACAGCAAACCAAAATAGAGCAGCTCTCCTGAAGTATTCATGGGAAACTGGGAGTGGGGGGAAAGGCAGTATGGAATGTTTTCCGTGGAGAGAAATATCCCAAGGATTGCAGGACAGATTTTGTAATTTCCCTCTTTTTCCTGTTCGTCCTTGGGGTCTTATTGCTGCCTTCATGTATCCTCCATTAAAATGGCTTTATATGAATTATTTTTCTTCATTCTTGTGTTTCTTCTTGCTCCTCCCTTCTCTGTTCTACATACAGAGCATCTGATCTGTAGAGTTTAAAGACTTTCTTGTCACACTTTATCTTTTCAAATATTGTATTCTTTTTGCATGTTTGGACTACATTCTGTTTAAGACTGTAGTGTCCGGGACAGATTGTTTTTGAGGGACATTTTTATGGGTAAATTCTTCTGTGATATCAGTATAATAAACTGACATTTAAAGTGTCCAAAGACATCCCTTCCACTGGAGTTTGCCACAGCACAGTATCTACTCCATGCCAAGGATACTGGTAAAAGAAAACATGTAAAATTTTGTTCTTAATGATGATTTATCATTTAAATAATGAAACTACATAAATACAACTGAGAAAAAAGTAGTGAAAATTTGGAACACTTCCTCATGTGTTTCAACTGACATACTTATTATGGTTCATAATTAATGTATCAGTCTAAAGTTGTTGAATAACTGTAGCTGTTCTCAGATCTTTATTTCTGCCAGATTTTAGGAGGTTTCAAAAACTATTTTCTTTGGGCTTTTATTAGCATCAGTAATCAGCCATGTGTATTTATACCAGCACCATTATCGTGTTTGTTTGTAGAACTGAAATGATGTTCTACAAATCCTGGGGATGGGCTTTAAAGTTGAGGAACAAGTATGGAGAATTTTAGAAAGATCCAGGTTGGAAATAGGGTGAAACAAGGTGAAGTCAGTTGTTCACAAACATTGTAGTAGCTCTGTAGCCTTTTTCTCTCAGTTATTTTCAGCTAAGGTAATTAATGTTGTAAATAGAGATTTATACACAAAAGTTCCTTATTGTTAACGATAAAGTATGTGTAACTTAACTCAGAATGAAGTAACTTTTAGATAGCTTTGCATGTTTTGAAATGGTAAAAGGCACGGTCTTCATATCATACGTAAATCAAATTGCAACAGGGCATTACAGACATTTGGGGTGTGCAAGAATTTTGCAACACCATAGGATTTGCTTCCGTAGCTTTAGTTTGTAAAAGCAAAAGCTGTATCCTTTAAAATTTCCAAAAAGCCTTTTAGCTTGAAATGAGACTTAGCAGAAGAAATACCAGCCTAGATTTTTAGTAAAGATAAATGCAAATTACAGCATGGCTGTGTAATTGAAGATGTTAAGGAGATGGTGTTGTACTATTTACATGACATGTCTCTGTGTGTATCTTAAGCTGTTTAAAAGCAAATAATTTTTTACTTAGTAACAAGTGAATAAATATAATTAAATTGAACTTAATAGAGTTAATAGATTTCATCTATTCCATAGGCAATTCTGTGTTGATATCTTGAAAATTAAAAAGTGCTGTGGATTTGTGTTTGGACTTTGAATATTTTTCTTTCAGTTAACTGATACCAGCTGCATCCAACAGCCCTTTACTATTTTACCAGTTAAGACAAAATGGAACAATGCAAACTTTCATATTCTCTTATTTGATCTGGAAAAACTTGAGGAACTTCTGCTGTCATCTCAACTTAATGGATTAAAGTCATCGAAATCTTTCCACAACCAACACACTCTAGAAAGAGCTAAAAGTACTGCTGAGAAAAGGGCACTGACATTAAAAAGAAACAAAACTTCTGGGTCCATATCTCCCGTGGATGGGCAGGGAGATACTGTTTGTCCAAACAATAATGCACCCAGACCTGTGGAAGAAAGTGGTGGCATGAAAAAACAGAAAAAAATGAAGAGTTCAAGAAAGATTAAAATGCAAACATCAGGAAACATCGATGTGAACATTGCCACTGAGGCAGTTAAGCTGCTTTTGTCATGTCTCCTTCCATGGGGTGTTGATAAAGGAACAGACAATCTGTGTGTTGGACACTTGGATATCCTGAGGCTTCAGTGTCGCGTTTCTTTTGGACTCGTGTCGAATGAAAGTCACCTATCACTGATGTTGCCAGGAGGGAACTGCATGGGTTGTGCAGTGCCAGGAGAAGGTGACATTTTCAACTTGTTTTCCAAAAGAGTGCTCGATTTGTCAAACAAATACCTTGCTGCAACTGAAGGAGAAACTGGAAAGAAGGAGGGACCTGAGAATCTTTATGGAACAAAGGACTTGGAAACAGTATTCTTCTTATTTAGCAGAATAGCTTTAATCAACAGGATAATTAACATACCTTCAGCAGTTACAGATGAAAGTGAAAGGTAAGAACATTTTTGTTATGAGTCTTCTCTTCCTTTATAGTAGTTAAAAACATTAAAAAACTGGAAACAAACTTTTCTTTAATATGTACTTCTGCAATGGAGCTTATCTTCTTTCTCTAGGGCTTTCTAAAAGAATGTTCTTTGAACAAAAGGAGATCAGGATAAAATTAGGTATCTTTACATTTTTCTGTTTAGCAGATGAGAACTGATGCAAGAATTGTTTCCATCAGAACAAGAACTTGAAATACCCAGCTTCACACCCTCCTTTTCCAAACATCACTCTTTTCTTCACAGTTTAAACCACGTAGAAAAATGAGGTCTCCTTATGCACATTATGAGATGTGCATTAAGCACGTTGAGTGCTGTTTAAACTTCCTATAAGAAACACACTTCCTTTGCCATGAAACCCTTGACTTCACAAATAAATAAAACATGAGAGCTGAGAACAATCTGTCCTAGTTATGCTGTCTCAAGTACAACGCCCCCAGTAACAACAGCAGCTACAGGGAATGAATGCCTCATCGGCCCTTACGTTGTGAGAACCATCCCAAACTGCATTTATGTTACTCAAAACAAATTTATTGACTAAATGCTTTTTCAGCAATAAAGGAAAAATAACATGCTGGACATTATTTCACCAAGCCAAATAGAGCATGCTAATCAGGCAACAGATATTGCCCACAGATTTGTTGTTGTTCAGCAAACATAGGTTGGTCTGTATTTAGTATTTTAGGGACAATTAACTCCAGTGTTGGTGATGCTGTGGCCCTCAGGCAAGAAGGGGGGACAGAAAATATTGATCTTGATGCTGCAAATATCTGTGTCTTCCTTAAAGCTCTAGGCACTCAGCAGATCTCAAGACATGTGCACCATCCCACAGGACAAAAGCAAGTTTCTCAGTTACTTTCCCTGCTAATCGTATTGCCTGTTGGTCCATATTCAACACAAGGTCTTATAGGATTCCATCTTGAATGTGAATTCCTTTTATGCAAAATAGTACTTTCTGCTTGCATTGTATATTCCAGTACTCTTTTGGAAAGACTTTGTATAATTGAAGTTAATCATCATACCAGAAGCAAACATTTTTCTCAGACATGCACATGCTGGCTTTGGAACACATCTCCTGTAAAATTATAAGAATTAAACTTGTTGCTAGTCAAAACAGTGTTGTGTGGGGTTTTTTTGTGGGTTTTTTTGTGTTTTGTTTGTTTGGGTTTTTTTTGTTGTTGGTTTTTTGGGGTTTTTTGTTTGTTTTGTGGTTTTTTTGTTTTGTTTTTTTAATCAAAACAGTGCTATATAATTTTAAATTTTCTCCAGCAAATGTAAAACCATAAAACCTAGCATGTCTTGTAGAAATAGATGGATTTTTGTACAGAAGAAAGAAAAAAAAATGGCATAAATTTTGGTTACAAAAATTTTATTAATTTTATGCAGAGAGTTAGAAATATTTGGAATTTACATGATACAGTTTGGTTTGAATCACCTCTTTTATATTATAGCTGTCTCATAGGTAAGTTTTAGTTTGGTGCCATTTGTGATGCTCTAACGTGGGTTGTTGCCTCATCTAGAGAAAAGCTCTTGAGTTGTATCCATTCAGTTCTTCTGTTGGAATTTTGGTTTGTTCACGGCTTTTGGTGGGGTTTTTGTTGTCTTTTTCTTTTTTTTTTTTTCCCCCTCTCCCCCGATCACTGTAATTTTCCTTTTGAGTTCCTAAGAAACAACTGCAAGTGCTATGGGTCTGTCCAGAGATAATACACAATTATTTTCCTGGCTGTGGTTGCAAACACTTGCCTACTACAAACCTACTAGAGGTTGTGCCTTCTATATTCATCTCTTAAACCTTCAGAAATCAGACAAGTAACCATAATTTTTGTGTTATTGAAGGATAAAATGTTCTTTCTCAGGGAACTTTATCAGAATTAGGCTGTATTTGTTGCATTTCCATCAATGCAGACCTCAGAGGTTTTAGTCACCTGGGCATTTTCCTCTTTACTGCTGGTGACAGGAAAGTTTTTTTCTCATTATATCCCTGTCCCATAATAGCACTGAGTTTATCTTTTCCCCTACCTTGAAGAACTGTTCCAGAACTTTAGATATGTCAGTCATATTTTTTTTTTTCCTTCCAATAAATAAAGATAAGAGCATTTGAGATAAGAAATAGTATAAAATCCCTTACCTAACCTCTGTTAAACTGCAAATGACATCCCATTGCAGTCAAGAACCATCATTTTCAGATAGGGTCAGAGTTCTTTGGGTGGTACCGATGAGATGATGCTGTTGTGTCAGCATTCATGGGAGAAATGCATCAGAGCCATGGAAAAGAATTCCATGCTTCAGACACTTCTTTGAAAAAACCCATAAAATACTTATTCCATCTGTGATGTGATGTTGTTACCTTTGTGTCTGAGTATAATGGCATAATTTTGCTGTCTGAATGTATTTATACTTTCTGTATTGCTTCAAAACCAGTTATATAAAGCAAAATCATCTCCCTCTCTCTATCTAGAGTAAAAGCCCCTTTCCTGTGATGTTCCCTTTCCCTCTTTCCTCCTATCCCTTCTCCAGTAACAAGCAGAGTGTGATTAGGACTTGACCTAAGGTCTTAGTATTCAGCCTTTGTTTCAGCTTTTCCTCTTGCAAATAATTGGGGTCTGAATGAACTATTGTAATCTGTGTTCATTCATTCCTTAAATATTTTTATGTGATTTATCCTTATTGATCATTTACTCTGTATTCTGGGTTGGAGTTAATTGTCTTTGCTGTGATCTCTTACAGTAGTGTACTTTTGTCTTATTAGAAATTTGGAAAAAAGAAAAAATAAGCAAATGCTGTTTTGTCCAATTTACCTTCTGAAAGTTAAACTGTAACCCCACCTCTTTGGGCAGTTGCTTTAGCTAAAACTACAACATCCTCAAGGGAAAAAACCCTACATATTGAATTCTAATTCACCACAGCATTTACAGAAGTAGCAGGACAGCTTTCACAGCTTGCAGGTGTTCTGCTGTCTGTCTGTCTGTTGTACAAAGTCAAGTTTGCAACTTGACCCAGCCTGTGAAAATAAAGGAACTTGCAGCAAAATGTGTCAGATCATAAAAGTGAGACAGAAACAGGGAGAAGCCAGGAAGAGAAGATCTTCAAAGAATTTATTTTCTCTCCTGCCTTCTGACATTTGTGTCTCTAACTTAAAACTCTCAAGCTGCAAGCTTTGAGTTGTTTAGAATTGTAAGGTCTTTTGAAATAATATGACTTACTGTTGATTATAGTGAATTTGAAAGGTGAAACATATTGTTTTGAAATGACATACAAATGGAGTTTTTGCAGGATCGTTATGGTGATGTATTTAAAAGAAATAGTTTAAGAGAGTGCAAGGGTTTGGAGAGGTTTTTCACTTCCTTTCTCCTCCACCCATACCCACTGTTTGCAAGGGTTAGGTTGCTGAGTTAGTGGCAAAGTACTAAAGAGCAGAAGATACACAGACTACTCTCCTAAATTGTAACCAACTACTGAAATCTCAGTATGGTAATGATATTCTAAATTATTTACCACTGTAGGGAAAAAAAAGAAACCTATTAAAAAAAACTTCTACTTTCCCTTGAACTGTTTTCCACTACATATTAGAAAAAAAACAGCACAAGTTCTTTATAAAAATATTTTAATTCATTTCTTCACATACAAATTTGTTTCTTTATTGCAATGCAAAACTTTATATTTGGCTCAAAACTTATTACAGTTAAGTTTGTGCATGTGGATGGTGCTTTTCACTACTTGTGTACATGGGAATGTTTCCATACCAAGTTGTAGGCAAAAGAATGCAAGTGACTTCTGAGAAGAAACTAAAGAGTGGTTGATAGTGATTGATAGCAGAGTATCTATCTTAAAAAAAACCCAAAACACTACCTTGAAACATAAAGTTTTTTGTATGTATGTTCAGGTTCTGTTTAATAGTTTCATATTCTTTTAGTCCACAGAAATCAGAATCTGTACATGACAAATGGCGAAATATAGAAGCAGCAACACCTTCATTCGCCAGTTTTTATGGAGACTTACTAAGCAGTAAGTATATGGAGGAATGGCAATATTAGTTTATAAGTGTTATTTTTTTGCATACCTCTTTTGCTAAAATACATAATTTAATTTCAATAATGAAAAAAAATTCTTTAGCTTTGAGCAGTCTAATCTGCAAACAGGGAAACTGAATTATTCAGTTTTCTTTTGTGACTATCACCAGAAATATGTAAACAAAATGTTTACTGGAATCAAGGATATTTTTCCTGTCATGGCAAAACATTTAGCTGAGTTTCTAAAGACATTTCCTGGCAATCTGAAAACCAGCAATGTAATAAGACAAACACTGTTGTCTCCCCCCTCCCCCATGTCCCTCATCACCATTATGAGCCCACCCAATAATATACACAGCCCTCCAAGCAAACTGTTGCCTTAATAATACAAGAACCATCTTGGCTGTTCAATAATGCCTTCAGACTTCTGGCTTGGGGCAGAATAAAGTAATCTCTTCACAATAATGTCCTACAGGCCATTGCTCTCAATCTTAGCTTTGCAAGCCACTGTGGGTTTGTTTACAGTATGCAGCTAACCAAGGAACATCTAAATAAAAAGCTGAACAGAATATGGACATTTATCACTATATATGACCTGATGAATACAGTGCTACTCTTATAAACGAAGTCCTGTCTAGACTGAAAACAGAAATTCTTTCAAGTCAAATCTTGACCCTCTGCTGTGTAAGTGTTAATATCCCCATCTAAACCCAGTTTTTAGTTACCCATCCTTCTCTGAGTCTTACATGCAGCATAACTGTAGAACTTGTGATGACATAGTATGGCAGGTGTGATGACTTGTGATGGCAGAAGTGCCCATTGGAAGAAAGATGGAACATTATATCAAGTGACAGTAGAAAATAAGTAGGTGAAAGGCATGGAAATGGTATAAAGATGACTAAAATGTTCATGAACATAAAAATAGTTTTACTGAGTGGCCTAAAACTTCTAAAGTAGTCTAACTCATATGCCCTATGTCTTGATTCACACAATTGCTCAGATTTGCAAATTAAAGTATTATCTTAGACTTGCAGGTGGTCTTAAAAGCAAAAAGTAATAAACCAAGCTAATTTAGGGTAAGAATAAATGTTCAAACAATAGATTGTCTGAACATGAGGTTTAGGTTAGATACTAGAAAAAGGTTCTTCCCCCAGAGGGTGGAACAGGCTCCCCAGAGAAGTTGTCTCACCACCAAGGTTGACGGAGTTCAAGAAGTGGTCACTCTGTACTCATTGCAGCAGATGCAAACACACTCTCAGAAATTATACTTTTTCAGACCTTTTCAGGTATTGTTGCTGAAGTGAAAAATTAACAGTGTTAAAATACCTTTCTATTTGTGTGCTTCTCTATATATTGCCAGTTCATCCATTGTGTGTGTTTTTCAGGTAAGAGCAGATATCATTCCTCAGACTCTGGAAGCATTTCATTGCTGAAACTGATTTGTTGTTGGAGCGAGGAATCTGTAAAGGTAGGAAAAAGAGCCTGTGTCAGTTGTTGCAATGGAATCCTTATGTAACATTGGTTGTAACTTAGTATTTGGAATCAGTAATGTGACCTAATGGTTATGATTTATGGTGAAATTATTACATAAATCATGCCATTCAGATCTGTGGAAAGCAGATTATTATTACAGTATGAATTATGTTGCTCATGAAACTATTTTGCAGTAAAATGTGTGTTTACATGTGGCAAAGTAACTGTCCTTCTAATTTTTAATCTAGGTTATCTTGTTCCTAGCCTGTATTTAAGAAATTAGTAATTTTTTTCTCTAATAAGCACTTGTAACTTAGATCAAAAATGCAATTTTATGCTCCAGGAAAATAGAAGGTCAAAATAATGGCAGTGTCATACACCAGTGTGATATTATGGAAGAAACAAAATGCCTTCATAAAGGGCAAATAATTAATCCCAAGTCCATGCTTATTACAACACTCTTTAAGAATGACACGTAAGTTCTGAATTTCCAGGGCAGATGATGCTCATCCCTGTTGAAGAATCTGAAGTCTCTGAGAGATAAATAAGTTTCTTGAGAGTTGACAGGTAATAGTAAACCAGTCTGAACAGTAAAATCTAGTGACCATTTTTTGTTTTGGAAATATGCCTTTAAATAAAATAGTGTCATTTATTTGAGTGCCTTAATATCCAGAAATACAAAACTCAGGATGTTTTATGACCACAATGGACTTTATTCCAGAAATGGGAAAAATACCTATTACAGATTTATTTTATCATGTCACTTTTGAAACTGAATGCAACTTTGGGCTGCATTTCAAGTGCAAAGAATGTTTTCCAAAGCTGAGGTTTGCAGGGGTGCTGCAGTGATAGTCCCTTGTTCTGTTAGGTGGAAATGGTTTCTGCAAATATTCACATTCAGTTGATTTCAGCATTTCATCTTAAACTTATCAGTTGCTTTTTATATCCCTGCTGTCTGCAGGTCTTCTATATTAGTTCTGTATTCTTCTCTCCCCTTTCTCTTACAGTAAGGTTTTTTTCCTTTTTTTGAAACATTTTTATAAGAAAACTGAATACAGGAGCTCCATTTCAATAGCTGCAGTTGTCATATGAAATGCATATAATCTCTTGCTGACCTGGTCAGCCACTGAAACTCTTTAGAGAGGAGTCATATATTCGTGGAAGTTGTATTTGCAGCATAGCTGATTTTGTGAGATCTCGGTATTTGTATTTTCCACTGTATTTAGCAACTGATCAGTGTATGCAATGATAATGGCCCTATCTACCACAGGAGGTTAGTGTGCAGGAAGATAAAGTGTGGAATAAGCTGCCTCACAATTTTGTCACCTGAAAAGACTTTAAATTTAAGACACTGAAGTTGTCAAGTACTGTAAATACTTCGCTATCAATGCTTCCCGAATTTTGACATAATCCAGGCACAGCTTTGTAGCTGCTAAAAGCTTTGTTACCCCACTTTGTAGTGAATATTTTGGATTGTTTGCAGCCAAACTGCCATAAACCTTTTAACATTCAAAATAATTCGTCATTCTGTCAATGGATGTATTACTGACCAATGGTTTATACAAAATTATAGTTTTAGTTGACAGTAAAGTGGCTTTGTTGAAACTCCACTTATACAAACACAGATTTATGGCTAATTTATTAATCCTGAGCAGCCTGATTAAGCACTTGTCTGTGTTTGCCCAAAGCATCACTAGTTACCCTGTTTTTAAGAACTTTTTTATTGTGATCTTCGATGAAGGGTCCTGACTCTCAGACATGACCCAAAGGAGTTGCCATTTATTGATTCCTCATCTCCTTACAGTGCTGTGACAGATTCTGTGCAAACAAGGAAACTGAAAAAACCTGCTGCAAATGTTTGATCAAGGGTCTACTGACTTGTTGAAATTTGAAGGGTTGAGGGAGGTATTTGTCTGAAATTTTAAAAATATTTTTCTAGTAATTTCTTTTTCCTGGTTGATTTTAAAGAAAAGGTTGTCTTCATGTGTGTTACTGTTCTTTCAGATAAAATATAGCTGCTTCTTGCCACACTCCCATCCCACCCAGAAATTACTTATGTGTGCTCAACTTTTCAGACAGATATATATATATGTATATATATTATATATATATACAATAAAAGCTTACTTTTAAGTATTTAATATGGGGAAACAGTTGTTGCATTTCTACCCTTAATTGTCCTCACTCCATATTTAAAACAGTCAGTTCTTCAGATATATCTGTGATAGGTATTTGGTTATATTTTCATTTGTAGAAAATAATAGTACTGTATTATTGAACCTTTTTGGCTAAAAGGGTGAACATTAAAATAAAACTTGAAAAAATTTATCAGAATAGTCAAATGTTGTGCACTCAAAAAGTTTTGGCTGTTATTGGCTCTAATAGATATAAAGATATTTTTTTCCACCAGAAGGATTTATTTGATACTTATTTCCTTGCTCTTCATAGCTCCTTAGCCTTCAAGTGACTGGTATTGAAATGTCTTCTACCTACATTTTTATTCAGGCATTTCAAGAGGAAGAATACAGTAGGAAATAACTTGCTTCCTTTTTTACCTTTCCTAAGATCTTTTTAAATCTCAAAGTGGCAGTTAGTTCTTGTGAGGTTGGCTTCTCAGAAGACTGAAGTCTCTTTATAAAAAGAAGTAAGCTTCCCCCTGCAATATGTGTTACTCTCTGAGCTGGACAACCATTTGTAAAGCAGTAAATGACCCCACTTTTATAGCCACCCTCCCATTTTCAGTGCCAGTCTCAACAAAGCAATTCAAGACTAAACGTGGCAATGAGTTTTGAATGAATCTTAAATAAATCAGTAGTTCCACTTACAAAATCTTAAGAATACGGCCTTCATCTGGAGTCAAGGATTTTAGTTGCATAACGACACGAGGGCTGTCTGTCTGACTTCAGGGTGCCCATCCCTTCATGGGGCTTCAGCAGGTTGCCTCTGTGGTGTGTGGCAGTATCAGGGCTCTGTGGTGTGATAAACCAGGATAGAAATACCTGAGCTTTATCAGAGTCATTACTGGTGCCTTTGTGATCAGCAGGAGTCATCCACCAGCTCCTCCTAGTTCTGAGATAGCTGGACAGGAATCAGCTCTAACTTTGACATGGTTCTGTTGTATTAGCCCCAAGTAATCAGGCCTTGGTTAGAACTTGGATGTATTAATTCAGGAGCATCATTTATACAGCATTTAGGCCCTGCTTTAGGATGGCACCAGAGGAATTCCAGTGTTGCAGAATTCCTTTTCTGTATAAGGAAACTTGTATCCTCTGTGATCACCTGGCTGGTTATTGTAATCTCCCCTTAGGAAGATCATTGATGACATGTAAATCTCTGAAACAATCATCTGAAGGAGGAATGTAGGTGCTTTAACCTTTCTTTTTCACCAGTGGAAAAATGTAGGCATTGTGGAGGGACTGCTGAGGTTTTAGGAGGAATGAATCATCCTGGGACTTTCTCCTCTCTCTGTATTGATTCCTGCAGTGCATCTGTATTTTTTTGTTTTACTTTAGTCATTTCACTGCCATTAGAACCTAAAATTAGGTGGAATGAATCTGAGAGATATTACAAAGGACTTCAGTTTCCAAGAATAAACATGTTTAGGCCTTTGCAGACAGCAGTACTGATAACCTAGCACTGATACCCAAGTTATAAGTAATATATCTAACAAGCTCTGAATGTATTTGATGTTACAGCTTTTGACTCTACCTGAAGCCAATATACTTTAGTATAAGTATCTAGACTACTGTCCTGACAATTACTGTGGAGAATTAGAGGAAAAAAGACTGGATAATTCAAGCTGATGTTTTGATCTGTATTTTCGTGCTCCCTGATGTGACTGGGTTACAGAGGCTACTGGGAGGTGCTTTCTGCAAGGCTCGGCCCTCTAGAGGTTGTGGCCTGAGCAATAACCAGGAATGATGCCTATTGACTTCTCTCCTTAAACCCACTCATTATAAAGGGAATAGTAATCCTTGGAAGTAATTGGTAAAGTGTAGAAAGGAAAGCAAGCGTAATTTAGAATAGATGTAACAGTACAGCTTGTCTCAACTTTTGTTCACTTGTCTTCTTGAATTACTCTCTAGTATTGCTGCTGCAGAGTCAAACAATTACTTTTCACTCCTTAATATCAGTATTTATAGTTGGACATCTGCTATTTATACTTTCTAAGTCAAAGAAGCAACATAATTTCTGCCACATTTAACGCTCCCAACTGAAAAGCAGATAGTATTTACAACAGCATTTACAATTATGGGGCAAAAAATGAAAACATATATTATTAGCAATAAGATAGCTAACATATATATCCAGAAGGACACTAAAGATAAAGTGGAAGTGATCAGAGAAATTGCAAGGTGCTCATGTAGATTTGTTTTGTGTTAGAAAAAAGAAAAGCTTATGGAGATCGTTAGACTTAACAGATGAATTCTTGGGGAAGATGCAGCGACAGGACAAAACTAAACATGTGGAAGCACACCAAGCACTGTGGAAATGCAGATTCATCAAAGAGATAGACAAGTAGCATGCAGAGACATATACAGGTGACTCTACAATAATATCGTGTTGTGCCATCTGTTATATTTTTATTTTGTTTTAAGATGTTAGAGGAAATTTTTACAGATGCTTCCTGGCTGGCACACACAGCAGTGATACAGATAATGAGTATCTGATCCAGATTAGTGACAGGTTCTTAGCAGATTTCTATTGTGTACCTCTGTAAGAATCTTTTTTGTCAAAAATTTCCCCAGGACGATGAAAACATGTCTTTGTTTCCTTCTCTTTCTTAATTATTGTAGATATATTGTAGGAGTCTGCTGTAAAGTCAGGATCTGTAATCCCCAAAGCTCAGGGTTGTATAGATGTGAGGAATTGGAAACTGCCTTTGGTTTCCCCTGTAAAATAAAGTTCTATTATAACAAGATGAAGGTTTGTGCTGTGTTGAACCACACAGGGCTAGGTTCACTTGCAGTGAACTTTTACACCGTGGACCTTGCTATGCTATACTTGTCTACAGTAAAGGTTTTGGTCACAAAGGATACCCAAAGCTTTTGTTCTACTTAATGATTTGAATTGACAAGGGCAGCTAGAGATATGATTGAGGACATGTACTTGATTAGTGAGATGAAACAATCTCTTCCAGGCAGTTTGAGGGATCCTGCATATCAACTTCGATTTATAATAATCTTAAAATATTTAAATACTTTTTATAATGTTAAGATCATATAAGCTTTAAGTATTTATAATAAGATGATCAACTTAAAATTTTCTTACTCAATTTAAATTCATATTTAAGCTGAGGTGAAGCACACTGTCCTGGAAACTAGAGTCACCCTGTTTTTGAGGAAATTTCTTGTACTTGAGAATGAATAACTTTCCAAGGGGGGAGAATTGTATTCCTTTTCTGAAAGAAATGACAGATGAAGAGAAGACATTCATGCTGCCATTCTGCACTATCCTGAAATTTAGACTGAGAATTACAGATGTTTGGGTCTTCATGTGCTCTATAAGATCTTACATATTTAAATGCTCTTAATTCTCCTGGGGCTTCTTGGCTAAAGAGAAGGAAAGTAATAACTCTCTCATATCATCTCTACACTGCATTGTCCCAACACCCATTTGTGGTGCATCAGCTACTGCAGGTGCCGTTTAAAGGCTGTTCAGAACTCCAGTAGATGTTCCTTTTCCATAAGAGGAGTTTGAGGAACCATATTTCCCTTTGTGTTAGGCAAAAAATACGGTGGTATTATGTTTGAGCTAGAGGAGTAGATAACAAAACATTCTTTAATTTTATCAGAGATTAGAGGCCAGAAATTCTAAACGAGGCAGAACACAAGGTCATTTTTCAGTCTATCAAGCATTTTTGCACACATGAGAAAAAATGAAGGTATCTCTTTTTAGCCATTATCACCATGTGCTTTACTCATATATTGTCATGACCCTTGAAATCAAGGAGGCACTGGGTGGCTCATTCTAGATGACATTAAAGAAAATGATGTTTATTGGAAAGCAGTCCTGACTGAAAATTTACTCCACTTTATTGCTACCTAGTTAGGGTTTCTTCCTCAATGTGTATGTAGAGACACATGATTATCACTGTCTGAAAGATTTATTCTAATGACATTCACCAGGACAGTCTTAAGATTTTGTGCTAGTTGGTTACAATTGTCAAATACTTAGATAAATAATTGAGGTACTGCTATCATCCAATAATAATTTGCATTTCTGACAGATTACTGAGGCAATGCAAGCAGTGCTGCTGGCAGAAGTTCAAAGGACTATCAATCCCTTGAGGAAGACGACAATTTGCAGAGAGTCGTTGGCCATAGTGGAGAATGGAAGTGGTAAGTTTTGGACACTGCCAAAGACTGAGGAGTAGGATTTGCAGTACATTAAAAATCATAGCGGTTTAGGTTGGATAGGACTTTAAAAATCATCCAGTTTTAACCAATTTCTGCCATGGACAGGGACACCTTCCACTTGACCAGGTTGCTTGAGGCCCCATCCAACCTGGCCTTAAACACTTCCGAGTGATGGGCCATCCACAGCTGCTCTGAGCAACCTGTGCCAGACCCTCACCATCCTCATAATAAAGAATTTCTTCCTAATATCTAAGCTAAATCTACTCTTTTTCAGTTCACAGACATTACCTCTTGTTCTATCACTACATGACCTTGTAAAATTTCATTGTCTTGTAGGTGGAAAATTTGTTGGTATATTATTTTAAAAGAACTTCCACTAATCAGAACAAGTTGGGAGTGTGAGTGTGTAATACATTATTTCTGTGTGAGACAAGCCAAATGACCTGTTTCTAACCTTAGCAGGCTATGAGTTTTCTCATATGATTGTCAAAGAGTTAAAGGAGTTTCACGCTCTCTCATCACCTCTGAATACTAAAGAAGAAAAGATGAAGTTTCTTTGGTTGTATGATAGTTCTGGTCTTATAAATGTATTTGCAAATAAAGGAAGCAGTGTGTTTGGAATAGAATCAATAAATCATATTGGACAGAAGTTTTATAAATTTGTCTTTTCAGTGAGATCAGACCTTACACAGCACTAAAAATTAATCACTTAAATTTTATAACTTCATAATGTAATACAGAATATTTTATTTTTCTTTTAGAAATAACCTCTCTGCAAGGAGATATCAAAGGCATTTTACAATTAGATCATTTCATTTTACAAGAAGCTTATTCTTTGCAACTTTACAGTGGTGCTAATGTTTATGGTAAAAAAGATTGAACCTGAATTTATGTTATGAAGTTATACTCTTTTTTTTTTTTTTTTTTTTTAGCCCATTAGCTGAGTCTTAAAATTAAGTGACCTAAATTTTAGATCCAATCTTATTAGTGAGCCTTCACTTGGGAAACTAATTTATTATCTCATTGAGTGTGTGTGTCTGTCATGAAAATTTGTTACCAATATCCTTGTTCCAGCATACTAAAAATGATCAGTGATACTTTGCTTCAGGCCACAATACAAAGTGGTGTCTCTGTAATTTGGACCATTGGAGTACAAACCACTTTGAATAATTGTCATACACGAGTTTATACTTTGCTTACACTGAAGATTGCTTTGAATCGCTTTGTTTATATGGTTTGGGACAAGATGCATTGTAATTAAAACATCCCCAGCTGTCAAGTTCATGGATTTAATTTCTAATTTCCTGATTTTTCAGCCTGTATTTCAGTGTAGTGTTTTGACATAGGCTTGCAGCTAAAATGGAACCAAAATGAAAGCTGCAAATGCAGATACCTGCAAACCCCAGATGTGTTTAGGCCTTTGGGTTTGTTTCAAAATCTTCTATACTAGAGGAAAAAACATTTCTGTTATGTAAAAAGTGCTGGGATGACTCTGTCATTCAAGTTGCCAAATTCTGTTTAATTCTAATTAAGTGTTAAGGCTCAAACAAGTTTATGAATTCAGGGGAATTACTTCTGCTCTCAGAAAGGGGGATTTGTTTGTTTGTATGTCCAGTAACAGATTTTTACTGTCATTTTGATCTTAACCTAATTATTTGATGGCTGTTCAAAAAACAACTATAAAACCGCTTTGCTAGAATGAGCACAGCATGCATAAATATTCATTCTACCTAGGAATTTTTTTCATACTTCATGATCTGAACTACATAAATGTCTTGTAAAGCAGAGTGGATTTTTTTGACATTGTTCAGCATTTTACTGTAGTCTGAAAGAGGCAGAAAACACACAGGAAGATGGGAAAAGAAATGTTGCACTATGAGTATTTAATATTGTATTAGCTTTCTTTTTGTTCTCATTTCCACTCATGTTTTATCTTGTTACATTATTTATCACTGGGTGTAAATAGCAGAAATATTTTTGGTTTGACTTGTTTAGTTTTGTAACATACATTGCAAAACTCGGTAAGTTCACGCAGAATTGAATAAATTTTTCTGTGATTTCTGATATATGAATGAGTAAAACTATTTGTGGCATGTGATCATGTGCAGAAATGATATCTGTAATAATATGCATATCTATAATAATATAAATTTTTAAAAACCGATGCAGGAGTAAGTCCACAACCAGTGTAATTCTAAGACAAGTAATTATGTCTGGGTTTAGTCATTCATCTGATAGGTATGTCATCTTTTATTTTATTAATTACTCTGTATTTATAGGTTGTACAGTAGCTGTCATTTTGTGCAATATCAAGGTAAAGGTTAAATATTGTTCCAGGTTTTTAAGTCATAATTCAAGACCAGGTTCATGCCCTCTGACCCAAAGTAAAAGTATCTGAATCTTGGCTGCCATCTTCATTGCATTGTATTGCATTTTTCTTTAATTGGAATTAATAGATTTGATCTGGAGATATTTAACCTTATTTAACTCCACAATTTCTGCTGAATCAATAGAAGTTCTCTTTGAAAAGAAAAACTTCCAGGATTTGACATTCAGTTTTTATCTTTAAAGTTTACAGTATCTTCTAGGGATGTTTTTTTCAGAAAGCTCCTTTCTCCTTTGAAGATCTTGAATCCTTCATGGTTAAGGGTAATAGGATGTAGACAAAAGCTTCCCTTGATGAATAATTTAAAATGCCCTTTTTTTCTGTAGTTCCATACAGATATTTTATTTGAATTAAAAAAAACTCCAAACAAGCCACCAAACTTACGTTTTTCCATAAACAAACATGAGGAATTAAAAAAAGAACTATTCATGCAAAGTATTCCAGAGAAAGGGTTAAACTGTGTTGTGTCCTAGTACATTCACCCACTGTTGCTAAAAGGAAATACAAATGCAAACAGCTGCAATTTCTTCATGTTAATGTCAGAGATCATAATATTGGACCTGTTCCAAACATATTGATAGCAATCTTACCATTGATTTCTGCAAGATTCACTTCAGTTCTTCAAAGAAGCTGAGGTTTTCCCTAATTTTTTGGCATTCGTCATAATTCTGAAAAAGTTTATTGGACTTAATCTCTTCCTGCTTTTTTCTTACACACTGATAATCTCAGATGAGTAGGACCATTTAACAGGTTGTCAGTGTGGTCTTTTTTCCCACTGTCATGTGCATCAGAGGCAGTGATTTTCAGGTCTTATAAATTTATTTACCCACTTTTACTTGCATAAAACCAAGAGGAGTTGTGTTTGCTGGCATTCCTTTTTCATTTGCAGTCTTTGATCTTATGACATACATACCTAGTCCATACCCTGCCACGTGCAGAACTTCTTTGATCAGAGGAAGGGTGGTGGTAACACCACTGTTGTCATTCACTGGCCTGGTGATTGGACACAAAGAAATGGCACAATCCCTCCTTTAGCTGATTTGAACCTCTGTCTTTGCCAACAGTAATTCATTGCTCATCCTTGAGGCATTCTGCAGTTGAGTCATCTGCAGAAATTGTTTCCTTCTCCATGGAAATCTCAAAATATTTGCAAGGGTAAGAGGTAGAAATGAGATTCGCTGAACTTCAGGTGCATTTTGTGTGTAGGACAGTGATGTTATACTTCCTGCACTGAAGCAGTTTCCCATGTGCGATCCTTTGATACCTATTTCTTCTAATGCATAGGGAGCCAAAAATATCTGGACCATCATTATAGCATATGAGTTCTTGTGGAATTGTGTGCCTCAATTCTTTGTGAAATATGAAGAACTGGATTTGTTTACTTTTTAAGCAAATTGTGGGGATAAATATCTTTTAGAACATAATACTCAGATATTCAATTGAAGAACTGATGAATGTGATATTCCAGGAATGCCAAAAACTGGAAAAGGAAAGGACAACAAAGTACAGGCTTTATTCCCAAATACAGAATGTTATTTTAACTGCCTCCTCTCTCTGTGAAAAAATTAAATGTGAAAAATCACACTACTAAGACTAGCTTGCAATAAATTCTGGTTTGCACTTAAAAATTCCTAGTTTAAGCAACTGCTAATGATTCAAGCTTTTAAGTATATTTGAAAGCTATTAGCTATAACCTCATCTTTTGTATGTGGTTTTGGAGCCCTTTAAACTATTCAATTAAATAAATTGGTTCTTGCAGGAAAAAAGCTTCTGCTGATAAATACCAGAGTGAAATTAATGGTGGCAATTGAATTCCATAGGTTAGTGTAAAGAATTGTCAAAGACTTATCTGGAATATAACAATATGTTTTGTTAAAATGAGGAATCCGTTCAGTAATGGCAAATCAATGGAAGGCAGGATGTGGCAGGCTCTGTTCACTGCAGAGGTGCAGTGACCTGCAGCACAGGTTTCAAACACTTCCATTGTCTGGGTTTCAGGAATCTGTCCAGCTGCAGACAACTTTTTTATTTCAGCTCTTAGGAAGTAATTCTGTGACTGTCTTTCTGTACAGCAAATGAAACTTCTTGCCTGCCTGCAAAATCTGAAGGTTTTGTCAAGGAAGGGCAGATAAAGAGAAGGGTTGTTCTGTCTATATTTTCTTTAATATTGTCATCATATTACAATTGTCTAATTTCTCATGTTAGACTAAATGTACAATCTGACTCTACATTTAAACAAATAAAAAAGACAAAAATAAAAATTGTTTGACAATTCAGGAATTCCTTTCATAAATGGATCCTCCAAAATAGATAAACTGAAATGTCCTCCTGAGACTCACAGCACCTGTGATTAAAACTTGTAGTATTTCAGGTGAAATTTATCAAATCTGTCTCTCTTCCTATGTAGTCCCTCTGTGTTTGGAAGTACTCCCAAACTTTAGTTTTAGAGCAACATCTGAACCAAACACTTCAATCATATTTTCTTGCAGTTTTTTGCTTTTCAACTGGTTTGAATTTTGGTGTCAGATCTCTCCCTATCTGGCATCTCTCACGTTTTTCCAGTTTAACCCTCTTCTTGTGTTGCATGTTACATTTT